ACAGTTCAAGTATCTTTAACACAATGAGTGTCAAATTAAATTAAGTTAATTTCAAACCTGAATCAGAAAACGTTAAAAACACTTACTTCGGCAGGTTTGTCCTACTAGATACCTTTGTGCACCTTTTCTAAAATATTAGTCACTGTAAACTGAAAGTTATGTTGTTTTCCTATTTTTAAATGACATATGAAATTGACAAGAGAGTACCTTCTGAAGATGGTTGTTGATCCACTTTGTAAATGTTTTCTTCTGTACTGCATCTCTGTGATCTGATAAACGATATCATTCAAACAATCAGTTTTCAGTGAACAAAGTTTTCTCATTTCTCGTGAAGTGAGCCAAAGAATGACTACGTTTAAGACTCCGATTGACTCACAAGAAACATAAAAATTCATTTCCTACAGTACAATATCGAAATTCAAGCCCTGACGGTTCAAGAGAATTTGCTTTTCTACTATTGTACGTTAGCTTATCATATTATTAAAACCACAAAACTAACAATTTAACATGTCAAATAACCACATGGCTACGTGAGCGAAAAACCTAGAACAGCGAACGACCTTCCAAAGGTGAGTAGAGTAATTACCTGGTTCGCTCCGCCTTAATTCGATCATTAGCTCGTAAACGTCTTCTTTCTCTGTAACCTCTCCGCACTCATTGTCCGCCATTTTTATATTTTGCTCTCGAAATCAATGATCAAGGCTGATTTGATTACTCAAAAGACAAGCGAATCGAGTTATTAAAGTTCCATGTGTGACCAGCTATCCGCCATCCATTAAATCAAATTATTTTCCCTCTTTATAATCATCGTCCTGGATTTGGTCACATATAATCACAGCTTATCAACAGGATTGGCTAAGTCTGATCGGACCAACAAAATGTGCGAAAACTTTCTTTATAGCACTCCCAGACGATAACAATTTCTATGCAAATGACGTTAAATTTCGCCCTTCGGAAATATCCAAATTAAAGTTCGAACTTTTATACAACTGGCCCACACTCGTCTCAGCTTTGCATGATGAGCGAGCGTTCTGTGACAGACAACATGCCAATCCGAGCATGCGATATACCAAACAGCAGCGTTCGAAAGAAATATGAGCAGTTTGGGGTGTGGGGGTAGAACGACAGACTAAGTGCTATATGCGACCTCATTTGTTGCTGCATCTAACAGTCCAATAATTTAATAATTTTATGCAATACCCAACCAAATGGAACGGTCGTCGACAGCAGTGCCTTCCAGACGTAGTTTGGTTTAACATAACCTTACTTTTCGCTAAACCCGGGTGAATTCGCGAGGTTATTTTTGTCGTTGACTGTACCGGGCAACTTTACCAAAAAACACAAAAACAAACAGATTGCGACAGCCAAAGAAGATAGAGTCGCAAAGCAATGACAGCCTAAAAGGAACCGTCTACTTTGTAACTCTAAGTGGTGGTGCTCTCGAGAGAAAAAAAAAATAATCTGAGATCGTAAAGTAAACCTTCGAGACATATCTTTTAATATAACGAAATTTACTTTAGCATCTGAAAGAACATATTATCGAACATATGCATTTATGAGTCGCTAATTATCATGTTAAGTTCAGGACTTTGAAGAATTAAAGGAAAGTCAGCACATAAAGCTGCCTGAAGCTAAAAGAAGCGTACTACAGCAGAAGGATAATTTGCCAAACCTCAATGAAGTACCATTTTCCCAGTTGTCAGGTCGTAAGCAAGAAAAAAAGGCAAACAGAAATGTAACTAGTAAAGTAAGTAATCTCTCAAAATGAAAAACTAATAAGGTTTATAAAATTAACGCATTAATAGCACCCTTACCAGCAATTTTACACACAGCCCTGTCAGCAACATTCGCCGGGCTTCGAGTTCCGGAACGAGACCTCGGCCTGCCATGAATCGGTGTCGTAGGCCTAGACATAACGTACGGTTACTGCTGGCCACAACCTCTTCATCTGTTTTTACAAATTGACTGTGCAAGTACTTGGAACCCGACCAAATCTTGGCTTCAGCATCACATCAGAAGACCAGAAATTTCCACATGCAAATAAAATTATAAACAGCGCTTACGTTAGTCGCCATAGACGCTTTATCAAGCGTTATACTTGAATGTGTGTGACATCGGTACCTTGTGAAATCAAGGCAGGTTATAAGGTAAAGAAACTTCACGCCACTAAATGAAAACAATTAAAAGGGATGGCAGAATTTTCCTCTCCACCGATAAACCACCATGTTTCCCTCTCTTCGCTGTCGCTTTGAATATTCATCTCGTTCCTGAAAGTTGCATGTGATTGGTTCAGTCAGCGATTTGTAGCAAAGCGCGTGACACATGTGTTTTTGGCGCGTAATTCTTGTTGCTCAGTAATTAATATTGATTGTATTTTGGGGTTTGTGATCTTTCGACAGTTTTTTAGCCACTGGAACTATGCGGTAAAGTACTCACAGTTTGTCACCTATCGAATCATAAGTAGTAAAAGATCGCTATATTCTCAACCAGGTTCGATTGTTGATGCTTCACGCAACGTCAACTGATGCCTTGAGGGCATTACCATAATAGGAATAATTACTGTAAAATGCCATACAATAAAGGCAAATTTTGTCAGAATATACTAGATGAAAACTGAATAAAGGACATTTTACAAAGTTTCTTTTTGAAATTTGGATTAAATGAAACACTAGGCATTTGGCTAATTCTCTATTAAAATAACGTGTAATTAATACATAAGACTTGAGTCTTCATATTGTGTGTTCAGTCACGCGAACAAACCAAAAGCACGTATATGTAAAACGAGATCTCTCTTTTGCAAATAATCCAGCATCCTCGGAGACCTCGGGGCAGCTAATCGGATGGGGATTTCATAAGCAAAAGCCTTGAAAACTTTACTTGAATCAATTTTGACCGCGAATACTTAACGCAACCTAAACAGCTGTACTGGGTTACCGAGGAGTATCGTTTACATTTTTTAACACTGCTTCCTTAAAAAAAATCCTGGGAAAATGTGCGATTTTGGTCAGACAGGTAAAAAGAACCGAAAAAGAAAAACGAAAGCTGCATCACAGAATCCCAAAAACTACAGAAAATCATTTCCGGATTCCGGGTTGGTTCAGTCAATGACGTGCGTATAAACGGTATAGATTACCGCATACCGTCTCGGATCATGTCTCTCAGTGCCCCACTGACGCCCCACTGAAAGAAATGGACTGGACCCAGGACTCTGGACTCGTCACCAGATGAAAAGGACACCAAAGTTTTGGGAGACTATTTCGCATAAAGTGGCAATTAAAAGGTTCCCTCACCTATCAACTTAAAACAAACAATCCTGTGCATCTCAAACTAGCCAAGAACAAACATGTCTCTCTGATTCCCCATGCCTGGGCGAGTCTTTCAAGGCTCGGTTAGTTGTAATCCTGGATTAAGCAGGATTTTTTTCCTGGGAACACAGCCGTCTCTTCCTGAAACAAAGAATATGAGTTGTCATGGTGACTAAACCTCAGTGGGTAACTGGGGCGTAGCGTTGCCATTTTGGCAAGTACGTACACACAACCATATTCGTAACAAATAACGTTTTAGCTGTCCTTTAATAGTTACAACTTTTAGCAGATTACAGTCTTGTTTACGATAGAACGTGGTATTAAAAAAAGCTTTTAAAACGTTTTTCTTAGAGCTGGTACTGGAATTAGAAAGTTTTCATGCACAAGGCGCCTCCCCTAAATAAACTTCCAAAGCGCTGAATATACATGTACTTCACAAGAAATTCAAATAAGATGTTTCGTTCAATTGCTAAATGTTTGGAATGAAACATAAGTTCTATTGTAGCTCAAGAAAAATGACCACTTAAAGTGCAGAAATTTGGAGTTTAAAGCATCGGGTGGATGAATTTCGGCGTGTGCGTGATTGTGTAAATTTTCCGCAACCTCAGTCCTCTGCTGACTTTTGTGTTTCTCCTTTATTTCGATCATGAAATTGATTGTGGAAAAGATCATTATAGTAAGGGTTTTAGTATTTATTTATTTATTTGCAGTTGTTCTGAATATCTCTACTGTTTTTCATTGAAAACTATTCCACATCTGTTGAGTGCAAATTTCCTGCAATATTCTTGTTGATCAACCTCGTCCCCAGGGCTTTTCCCTCAAAAAAGTTTTTGAGGGAAAAGCCCTGGGGACGAGGTTGCTTTTTGACACCTGGCAAAGTACTATTGAGGGGTGGGAGGTGAGTAAGCATTAGTGCTAAGGGAAGAGGGCTGACTGGGGTGAACGCAGGTACATGGAGGTGATCAGTGAGGGTATGTGGGGAAGAGGGTGATTATAAGCCGTTTCGGTAAAGGTCAGCTGGTTTCAACTAACTGACAACTGTTGATGGTAAAATACAACTGGGCCTTCCCACAACGACAACTTTAGGGACAGAGGTACTGAAGTGGTCACTGTGGAGAGAATAAGGCCACCTCCACACGCAGCCGCAAAAAGGCCAATAATTGTAAAACCGCTTTCTTTAATGATAGTACTGTACGTGAGGCTTTCTCTTTACTGGCTGTTTTGAAAGTTAGGAAGCGTGGCCGGGTGGTTAGAGCGCTGGACTTGTAATTCCGAAGTCCCACTCTGACCGCTACCTGGATTTGTTCACAGTAGTCCCGAGTTCAAATCCTCGGCGATGCTTGTAAATAGCAAGCTGATTTGCCTCCGGCCGGTTGGGATTCAGTTAAATTCAATTTGAATTATTTGTTTCAGATATTTGCTGGGCCCCACTAGCATTAGTGCTACAAATACTGCCGAGGGTAAATAACGGAATTATATAATATATGTTATATATTTTGGTTTTTCTTAATAAAGGGCGGGGATGCCGTACAGAGTAGAGTAGTAGCTCAGAGCTGATCCACTCTGAAGATGTTATCAAGACTTCAAAAGGAGGCTCTCAGGATCGTGTCATGTTCCTATTTGATCATCAACTTGTGTACTGCAAAAAGGTAAAAACGAAAAAAAGAAAGAAAGAAATAGCTTAGGGAAATGTACGGGTTAAGAAATTTTCTCGGTGTGTTCTGGCTTGCAGCTAGCGAGCTACGGTGGCTCTTGGAGGATTTTGTCGAGCTATAACTCTGTGGTAAATGAATGGACGGCTGCTATGTCCGCCGTAATATCTTGAATTTCTATCTAGTCTTCCTTTAAATCCTAAAGCAAAAATGGTCTCTTACGCGCTACGGCGCTATTACTGCTTATTCTAACTCATGAAGATCAGTATTCCCTTATCCCCTACATCAAACCGGCCCACGCGCACATGAACAAAATGTTACAATTCTCTTTCAGGATATATTAAAGAAAAATGGCGTAACGTACAAAGGGAGAATTGACATGGACGACTGCACTGTGATTTGGCTTAGAGATGGAGAAGGTACAACTACTTTAATTTATTTCTTGTTTTCATCTCAAACAAATTCTGTGGCTTGACCATGGGACGAAAAATACTTACTCCGGCAGCAAATTAATGCAAGACCATGTATGAACCTTTTTTCGGAGGACTCGAAAAAAAAAATCAGTTAGAGTTACTACAGTACCTTTTTGTGGCTGCAGACGTGATCTTGGAAGTGTGGTATTACGTGCGCAACCTAGATGGTAGTTACGACAAGCTCGCTCGGTTGCCAGGGTTTTTCCTTCTTCCGGCCCTGTGATTCTCGTTCTCGCTTTAATAGGGGACGAAAGGAGAGGATCACTTGGAAGGGAAACGAACTGAACGAGGCACAGTGTTGTAATTAGCAATTTGCAGGCGTAATTGCCTCACTAACGGAAGGAATAAGAAGACAAGCTGATCCCTTTTTTGTTTTTAGAAACGCTGGACAGATCACCCCTTAACAACGCTTGAAAAATCTATAACTTCAAGAAGGAAAAGTGGTACATATTCCACACGAAAAAGGCGGCTCGGAGGGAAAACTTGGATGAAAGCATTTAAGGACGAGAGGAGAAGAGTTAAAGAAGATGCTAAAACAGGTAAACAACCGTTGGTTTTTTGGTGATCAGTAACTTGACATTGTGTTTTCATGTTACTACTCTTAAAGCGGTTGCAGTTTAGTAGCAAGATGACCGTCCTTGTTGGTGTGCAAAGTGTTTTAAAAAATCGTACAAGCCTACTTATAAATGTTCAAGACCCCGAATGTGTCGGATGTCAGAATTGAAACCTTACCTAAGCTCCAGAAAAAAACCCAAAGCGTTAGACGTAGACATCACAATCTACTTTTGACTATGCCACAAAGCATTCCAAGTGGCACTTTTTCAGTTAAAACAAAGATTACATGTAAAATCACAGTATTCACGGAATAAATGGTATAAAACACCTCATGGGGCAATTTTTCATCCAAATGATACGAGAAAGGACAGGCGGGGACACCATCTTGGCTATAGTTCAGCGAGCTTTAAGTCTGATTCAAGCAGGTAGACTGGTAGAAGAAAGGGATTTTCAATGAAAACGGCAAACTCAGTGCGAGAAGAAACAAAAACGTGAGTCCATGCAGAGTCCGGATCCAAGCCAGTGGGAGGAAAGAGTGTATGTTTTTGTAGTTCTTGATTAAAGCAAAGGTGTGATTTTCCTAGCAATACATTTTTGCATTTTTTTGACAGAGAAATTACCATGGTGTTTTTTTAGAGCTGGAACATTAACGCCGTCTTTTTAATTTTCCAAATGAGAGTTTTCAATTTTCCTGAAAGCTATAGAAGGACTGATATAAAATTGCCCCAGTCTATCAGTAAAATGCCGAACCTTGGAAAAATTAGGCTTTAAAATTGACTAAAATCGTGTTTACCCTCTTGACGCAATACAGTGGTGGTGTTTAGAAGGGTGCCAGAGCAACCCGTTTTTGCGTAAATACCATGTCATTGTAGAAATAAGTTGTTAAAATACACACAAATACGTATGCATCATACAATTTTAAGAGAACAATGCAAAGCAAGAAAAAGTACTATTTTAATTTCACCAATGTTTCCTCTCTCAGCCTTCTATAAAACGACGCAAAAACCTAGGGGGTGGTCAAAAGTGGATGCGATTTATTTCATCTTTCCAATAAAATCACCCATCACAATCTTATCGGACAGAGAAAAAAACGATAAAAGTTTGAAGGCGATTGGCTGACCATCATCCGTGGTTCCTGTCCGGTCCTTACTGACAGAGATAATTGAATGTCAATCATTGTTGAGATGGGACGCCACAGCCAGTAGGGTTCGGCACATGCTCCCGACACGTAACTGTAAGCCTTAGGCTAAGTTATTAAAAAACATAAAACAGCCTCTCTTCTATCCTAATAACTAAACAGAACAGAAGAGGGCGAAACAACATACAAAAGAGAGGAAATCGACAAACACGAGGAGGGCATATCGACACATATGAGGGCATATCAACACTTGAGGGGGCAAATAAATATAAAAAGGGGGCAAATCCACCAGACTGTAAATGTTTTTGCCACCACTCTAAACAATCACCCAAACATTATTGCCATCATCTACTTGACCATATGAGAATCTTTTAAAG